GTCTCTTTGTTGGGCAAATGCCTGTGCACAACTCCAGTTGTGGAGGAAAAATGCAGACTTTATTTCAATTGTTTTTGTTACAACAATCAGGAGGGAAGCTCCATACAGAGAAGCGCTGCTGAAACTATACTGGAGGGAGGAATGGATTCAGGCAGTCTTGCTGGTAGCATTCAGGTACCGTTGCCACCTCATTTCAGGCTTTGTGCAATTTAAAACGAGTTGGATTTAACCACAGGAATGCAAGAATCCAAATATACAAAACCACCTTTTAAAAACAGTATTAATACTATAAAATGCCCCAACAGACAGGCCATTTTCCCAGTGCTAGTGGAACTGGGTTTCACAAAAGCACGGCCATTAATATTGATTTTATTAGCATTTCCATACAAAGATCCAAAGGGCCATTAGACTGTGATGTAAGATAGAGCCCCAAGCAAATTAGTATTCATTTTGCAAATGGAATGGTTATATTTCCTACTGATCTACGTCGAATAGTTTTTTTTATTGTTATCAGATGAAACTCCAAATGCTATTGAACAGAAATTTGATTTGAAGCATCGTACATTCAAATCAATTCCCAAGACATGTCTTTGTCAACTATGAAGAACTAGGCAAGGATGTACTGTGTGTGTAAAAATGCTTCTTGGCCACTATGAAAAAGCAGCCTGTTCAGGCCAACGAACAGATTATTGTCTCTAATTAATGGTCCATGTCATAGTGCAGTGAAAAAAGCACTATGATTAAAACTACAGTGATAATTCATGGCAGAAGAGTACTACTGACGCAGCTTTTATGAATAAAAAAAACACAATTTGCTATTTGTCTTGTTAAGCTGATCTATTCACCGACTGCAGAACAAGCTTCACAAGCACTTGCTGTCATCTGCCGCTAGACTTGCAATGCCATACCAAAAGACCCAGATTTACTTGGTCAATTCACTGACAATGAACATACAATGTGAATATGGTACACCCTTCATGAGCTAGATATGGTCTAAATACAACATTCTCGATGCTCAAAAACGTAACAGCATCATTTTAGCAAGAATGAAAATGGGCAACGACCTTGCTTTCATACCCTTACAATTTTCTTTGTTCAGCCGTATATAGTCATTTAGTTCATGGCTGTTTGTGGGACTTTGCTATGCACATTCGCCCACAAAACACATAATCATTGCACTTTACATTATATCCTGTGAAGTACTTTGAGCCATTCCCCCCCTCCATCCCGCACTGTACCAAATATTAAGGATCATTATCTGACAAACAGCCATTGGCATGCTTCAACACTATTCAAAACAAGACAGAATTCTACATATGCAGATTGCATGGAAATTTCGCTTTGTATGAAATGCTGTGCAAACTATTTCCCAGGAGAGATACACCCTGCTTATGTATATAATTATGTAAGTAAATTATAACAACAATAACCATTGTATTTGACATAACACCTTACCAAAGCACTTCACAGTAAATGCAGTGACTGCGTATTTACTGTCAAATGCAGCAGCCAACTTGCACACAATGATCTCCCATAGCCAGGGATGAAAGATCAATTTAACCAGGACCCCCAGAAAACACTTTACCTTAATTCAGTGCTCATCTCAGTAACCTCCAACTGATTTTAGTAATTTACGAGATGGAGAATTTCAGGCATGAGCCCAACCCAATCCCACCATTCCATGGCATTACATGATAAAAATACATTTTTATTGCTAGTTTTCAATCATGCTAAAATTCTTCAATCAGATATAGATACCCAATCCACTAAATACGAGAGATGGGGAGAAATATTAATAGTAATCCTTGCATTCTGATATAGCATCTTAATATCTTGTCGGGACATCTCAAAGCACTTCACAAGATTTAGTGGAAAGTGTGGTAACAGTGTATAGATAGTGAAAAACTGCAGCCAGTTTGGCATTGCAATATCTGACAAACAGCCATGAAGTGAAGCAACAACAAGATTACATTTGTATAGTGCCTTTCACGTTGGGAGGATGTCCCAAGGTGCTGGACAATGTACAGCATTTCAGACCCGAGCTGGGGTCGGGGGGAGGGGAGAAGGACCAATTTTATTAAAGTTTACAATATGATATTGTTGGGAAACAGATTAAACCCAAGATCAGATCTGAATGACACGGTGATGGTAGTACTGGCCAACCTTAACCAGCTGGGACAGTGCTGATTTTGCCAATAATTACTGTGGGAGTCCAGTGCTGCACTATCTGTACAGCAACATCAAGTCACTCAGCAAAGCCAAGTCTGAACCAATGCTTGAGTGGAGAGTCTGAGCAAGGGATATTGGGTGACGGCAAGGAAAATTGTCCTCTCTACTAGATAATGTGATACTGACAGAGAATGTGTCTCTCTCTCCGGAGGGGCAGACTTACCAGATTATTGGATTCTGCTCCCCCCCACACTCCACCATTAGTACCTTCTAGCATTTGACTGTAAAGGGTCATGGCTTGATTGCGAACTGACATTACTTAGTGCTTATTCAATTCTTTCAAGCAAACGCACAAACGGTGAGTCATTTTCACTGAATGGATTACCAGAAAAAATGTGAATCACTACAACTCCAATAGAATTAGGATGAAATACGCAGCCACATGTGTCCATTTTCCCATTGTACTCAATTCCTCAATGAGATTTAATCATCACTTCCTGGAAGTCGACTCCCTGCATCCAGCTAATAGTGTTTACAGTGGCTCTGTACGTCAGATTGTTTTTCTTATTGTGTCTACAGTAAAGCTACCTGCGTTATAAATATTATTCTCAAATCCATTTAAAATTTACATTTTAATCCACACATTTTTGGATCAGTAAAATGTATCAGTATGTTGACGTAACTAGTACAGTTCTTGTCACTTGCAAGAAACCAAAGGATACTATTTCTGTACAAAATTACAAACTATCCCCAATTTATAAATAGAAGTAGGACAGAATGACCTCAATGCAATAGAAATGCCACACAGCCAAATTTATGCAATGTCCCAAATTGAGGACCGCAGGGACACATGTCCTACTTCTCCCTAAATTCAGTGAAAACAATCTGCATGGATTAAATTCCAGCACCGTGGAACTTAATCCATGCAGGATATTTTTAATGTCTGAATGGCCATTGATCATTGATGACTTTAATAGTACTTTTTGTTGATGGTTATGATGATTGTAGTTGGAGGGGGGGGTGGGAAAACAAGAAAAATACTTGATAGTCTCAGTTTTAAAATCCTTGGTGAGTATTATCATTTTAAAATTACCAGTGGTCTGTGCCTTCATGTCCAAAAAAAATCTATAAAGAAAGAAAACCGCCAAAATATTTTTACACTCCAGATACTCTTTTGGAAGATACAATATCACTTCCAGGCGTGATGGGATTCCGCAGGCTCTATTTATATGATCAATTTGTAGATGATTTAGTTAATAAATCATCTCCTGGAGCCTAAAAAACTAATGTCAGACCAACTAGTTGAAAACATAGTTGCTCTACACTTGGCAGCAATGATTTAAAAGTGTAGTATAATTGGGCTATTAATCATATGCATATATATATATACACAGACATATATTATATATCAGTCAATAAGATATACAATCAGTCTAAAGTAAATATTTTAATAAAAAAGCAAGAAAAAAGATTGACAAGTGGATGAAAACTTGCTATACTTCATTCTTATGGCATCAGCATTTCCTGTAAGTTTTGTTCCACTTACATGTAGCACAAATTCCTGTTACTTCAGTAAATCTTTACTCCATTAACTTTGCCAAACCTGTTACTCATGCATTACTAACCCCGACTATTTTAGTTTAAACTTATTTATGTACATTTAAGGAGCTCCAACTCTAGGTGATTCAGAGGAGGCACAAATTTTATTTATACACAAGCCTCCACCAGAAGCAAGCAAAAAAATCACGATCATACATCAACACAGATCTGGGGCTCTAGTACAGCAGTGAAGCACTGCACAGGTTCACACTAACAATAATCCTTGCATTTGATATAGCACCTTATCACGTCTTCAAGACGTCTCAAAGCGCTTCACGGAAAATACTGTAAAGTGACTTGACTGTATATTTTGTGGGCAAAACACGGGAGCCAATTGCGCACAGCAGCGTCCCACAAACAGTGGTGGACTGAGTGACCAAGAAATGGGTTAACAGCCCTACTGCAACAGAATGAGCAAAACTATCACTGCCTTGCACTCACTCGGCTGACAGGCGAAGTTTGCTGGATCGCTGCCAAACCTAGGCATTTATATCTCACCAGAATCCTTCCACGGTTACTTCTGATAGCTCAGAATTATGCATGACAGTTCTACGAGGACCCTGAGCAACCGTTGTCTGCGCAGTAAATCAAAGCATTTTATTTTTGTCACCGTTTAATTTTAGCAGGATCGCTCTCAGGGTTATTCTTCCTGACATTTAAGAGAAAAGGAAGAACAAGCAGGGATTGTTTACTGAATATTTTTTTGTATGGAGGGGAGGGTAGGAGGAGGAGGAGAAGGAGGGGAGACGTGTGTTGAATTGGTTTGGAAATGAGTAGCTTTGTGTAAAGTACCTACAGTGAACAGATCCATCCTCTGAACCCAATCAATCCATGGGTTGCTACTGTATTGGGACCATCGCCCTTTCGCCTCTCTATTGAACTCAATGCCTTCCTTTCAAATGCAAATAAAAGTCCCCCAACCCTTCTCCCTCTCTTTCTCCTCTCTTTATCATTTATACAACCCCATCCTTAGATCCCCTTCAGATGACCCTCTGGTTTTGTTGCATTCGAATGCAAAATTTGGCAGTTTAATTGCAGAAAAAGGACTTTTTAAAGACCGATTCCAACACTCTTTCTCTCTCTCGTTTTAAAAAAAAATCAGAAACGTGTTTTCTAAACATCAGAAACATGTTTTCTAAACATTGCAAACAGTTAAGTGGTGATGGTGGGGGTGGGGGGGGGGGGGGCGACAAGGAAGGAATCGAGATCACAACACATTGCACCAATCTTACCTTTCACTTGTGTTTCATATTCAGTTATGATTTCTTTATCCTTCTTAAACCTGGTGGGAGTTGACATTGTTCACGAGCTTCTGTTGCTGATCCGTACTCCTTTATCCACAGGGTCCAGGTGGGGGGTGAAAAAATAAATGCGATCCACGTTGCTGTCTGGTCTGGGTGTTGTTGGCATCCACTTTGATGGGTGCAACTAACAGCTGAAATGCAATCCGAATCCTTAGCATGAAACAGTATCACCAACAATACCAACAGACAATATCACCAACAGACAATACCAACAGACAATATCTCCAACAGACAATATCTCCAACAGACAATATCTCCAACAGACAATACCAACAGACAATATCTCCAACAGACAATACCACCGAGAGGGTCTCAAACAATACCACCGAGAGGGTCTCAAACAATACCACCGAGAGGGTCTCAAACAATACCACCGAGAGGGTCTCGTCTGATCCCTGGGGATAAACACACCCCATGGACAGCTCCAGAGGGGATGAGGGGGGCGATCAATAGCGCACCATTCTCAGCCTCAACATTTACACTATGCAACTTCGTGAAAGCATTTTTTTTTCTGGGTGGGGGTGTGGGATGGGGGTGTGGGGTGGGGGTGTGGATCTGTAACCCTCTCCCTCCAAAAAATACACAATAATCACAAAAGTACCTGGTCAATCTGGAATGCAAATCCACAATGACTTTTTAATACCCCCCACACCGGCTCCAACCTCAGCAGCTACAGAGGGAGGTCATGGCCGGTGAAACAAAACGTGCAACAGCAACAGCTCCAGAGCTGCCCCCACCCCCCCCTCACCCCCCCCCCTCACCCCCCCCCTCACCCCCCTCCCTCACCCCTCACCCCCCCCCCCCCCTCACCCCCCCTCACCCCCCCCACCCCTCCCTCACCCCCCCCACCCCTCCCTCAGCCCCTCCCTCACCCCCCCACCCCTCCCTCACCCCCCCCCCATCCCTCCCTCACCCCCCCCCATCCCTCCCTCACCCCCCCCCTCACCCCCCCTCACCCCCCCCCACAAGCCTCGGTTGATGGCCAGAGTTCGCTTCACTGCTGTAGTATTTCAATGGTTTCCTCCCAGAGACCAAATCACCCACACGCGTTAGATACCGTTTAGATCAACAGCTCTCACACACTCTCTCTCTCTCACACTCTCTCTCTCTCTCACACACACTCTCACACACACTCACACTCTCTCTCACACACTCTCTCTCACTCACACACACTCACACACACTCACACTCTCTCTCTCACACACTCTCTCACACACACTCTCTCTCTCACACACACACACTCTCTCTCTCACACTCTCTCTCACACTCTCTTTCTCACCAACACACACTCTCTCTCTCTCTCTCACTCACACACACACACACAGAGGCTTCTTCCAAACGCTAACTTTTCTTTTCCTTCTCCCCCCATCCACCCCTCCACCCCTAAAGCAGCTGTTTTTCCTGCTGACTGACCTGCCACGTTAGGAAGAGGAAACTTTCAGAGCGTTAAAAAGCCCACAGCCCCCCAACGCCGACGCCTGTAGTGCAGTGTAGTGCAGCTGTAACGAGCCACCAGCCCCCCATAGGCAACACAGCAGCAGCACCAACAGCCAGTGACTCAGCCTCCAACCTGATGGGAGAGACACAGGGAGGGAGGGGGGGGGGTGAGGGGTGGGAGGGGTGGGGGTGTGATTGACAGGAGAACCTGCCATTCACACGCCTCGTTTCCCGGGCAACGGTTCGGAATTGTGTCAATGGGCGGCCGGGGAGCCCCGGGATTGGCTGGTTTGAGGCTGGAGGAGGAGGAGCTGGAGGAGGAGGGGGAGGAGCTGGAGGAGTGAGGGGGAGGAGCTGGAGGAGAAGGAGGAGGAGCTGGAGGAGGAGGAGGAGCTGGAGGAGGAGGAGCTGGAGGAGGAGGAGAGACAATGGAGCTTCACTCCACCCTCCGCCCTGTCCTCCCCTGACTGTAAACGCGTCTCTCCGGCTCTCCACTCCAATCTGAGTTCAACTCTCTTCTCTTTTCATTTCTTCCTTTCCGGCGGACGTTCGGTCCTGCGGTTTCCTTCTCGCGAAGGGAGGGAACTTACGGCCGAACCTGCAACCCGGCCGATCAAAACGATGGCGTGCCATCCAAAGCGGCTTGGGACATCCTCCCGATGTGAAAGGCGCTATACGAATGTAATTTTGTGCTGCATTTGGAATGAAACGCCTGGACTGTGAGGCTCGAGAGCGCTTTCCAAAAATAAAATCATGACATTGATCCGAGGGACGGAAGAGGTGACAATCCGGTGGACCCGGACTGAATTTTTTCACTTTTTGTTTGGTTCACTCATTTATCTTTTCAAAGTGTGTTTCGTATTAACAGGGAAGAGATTGAACTCTCGCCCGCAGGTTTGGCCACAAACACGTCACCCGAGTGTGAGGATCTCCGAATCGCTCTGTGTTTGTTGTTGGTGGTTAGTGTTTTCCCACCTGTTTAATTATCTCTCTTTCTTGGAGCTCAACCTTTACAAATAGCCAATTAAGATTTCCTGTGGGTTTAACCTTCCAGCAGTTCGACAGGAGTGTCACTTCTGGATTTAGCTGCACTCGAATTATACCGAGTCTTCACAGTTTTATACAAGGATTGAGAGGTTTCCTATACAAATACGTGTTCTTCAGGGCTAGTGGTAGAAGATATGGCCCCAAGGGAGGGAGGGGGTTGTTTGATGGGAAATAGATAAAATAAACTGACGATATGTCCTATTCGGATCAAACAAAAGGCACCTCATTATACGATTACTACCAGATGTTAAAACACAGGAGTATGTGTAAGTTCTATTTTTACCTGTGATTAATTTAATCGTAAAAAAGGGTGCAGAGTTCACTGCTCCTTTCTCACAGTCACTCTGTCTTTGTGAAAGGACTTGTTGCCATGGTTAAGTATCTTGAGAATATCTTCGCTTGAGGATGCAGGCCACAAGGTCATTTTGTGTTGTCTGTAAGTATTCGGGGGTCACACAGTGGCGGACTGGCTCCTGAAAAGGCTTGGGCTTTTCGTGGAAAAAGGAGGGAGTCGATTTTTTTTGGGTGGTGGGGGGGGAAACCAGTGCCAAAATGTATATTATTGAGCGAATGTAACTGCTGGATGGAATTGTATCAATTTGAAATCTATATATTACAGACTTCTGATTTGCAACAGTTGCAACAAAACAAAGATATTACCCATTCTTTGTTCTTTAAGGAGAAAGGAGTGAAAAAATCCAATATTGCATAACATTATTGAATGTCTAACTGCACCTGTTATGGCATGTCACATATTTCCCCCACAATAGCAAATCGATGTTCAATTAAATGCACCATTCAATCTTGAGCCCATTCTAAATCACTAACCGACAACATAATTATATTTAGTCATTAGCAATATTGGCTTATAACCCCACCCATCCTGTTATATCTAACATGGGGTTGCCATAGATATTTTGAAATCAAATATTGTATTCCTCCCGAGATGATGTGAACCATTACAGAATAAAATCGACAATGTAGCTCTGACAGTCATATCTATTTTCAACAAATGTAACCCCTGAGTATTGCCAGAATCATGCAGAATATCTAATATCCAAGCAAAAACTCAACTCTCTGGTGATGTTTCCAGTGCACTGTTAATTCTACTGAAATATTGTGACACAGAATACTATATCATTTGCCAAATTATGTTTAGTATAATAATAGAACCTGCAGGATATTTGACGCGATTATAAAGGTTCAAAGAGCCATTGCTAAGATTGTTTTTAACAAAAATAAAAACAGATTATTGCTGTTCACTATAGTAATGTGCAGCACATTATTTTAATCCCAATCTAATCCAAAACATTCTTTGCTTTTGTGCAGAAAACATTTCTCAAATGTAGCCCATGATTCTCATAGTTAAATTGACTTATCAGCTTGTTGTGCAATGTAATCCTCTGAAGAAATAGATTGTGCTCATGTCACATTCTTGGATGGAATGTTCTTGCTGCAAAGTCTCTTTACTACTACATTAGTATGGCAGTGTTGGCTACAGTTTGAAATCAAAGCAAACATTGTTTAACTGTAAACAAAAAGTCTTAAATAATCATTCACAGATACCAAAACATACGGGCACTAAAATCATGACACTCTGAACAGCTTTCAACCTATCATAGGCGTAGGTAGTTAATGTCTGGGGATGGCATATTAGGATTCAGACAGCAATAGTTTTAATGAAATTTATTTTCCTCTGACCAATATCTTTAGCTATCCACTGAATAAATCCACATGGGACCAATCATATTGATCTTGTTTTAAAAAGCACTCATTTGCTTAATGATTTCTTCTTTTAGTGCGTGCTAGAAACAAATAACTGCTACGATTAACACATCCAAACTGTGCATCAAATGTTCCTTTTCTCTTTCTATGTAGAGATTCACTTTAACCGAAATGTTAATGGCAAAAAAGACATTATCAGGAGCTGGAGTAAGTATGCTATTAGTGACGTTATTGCTGCACAAACTGAAATCTTCTCTGCATTAAGCATTGGCTAATTGAATACAACTATCAACTGAGAGGCTGTACATAATTATAATCCAGAAAATTAAATCTGATGAACAAAAATTAAAATTTTATTAAAATAGCATTTTCTGTAGGTATATTTTTTTCTTATTTTATTTTGTTTAGCACTGTCCCACAAGGAGAATTCACTTGATCCTGAATTTGCACAACCACGTGTGTCACCTTGGAGCCAACTCAGTCCTTTACCCACCCCTAAGGATGACAGTGTCATGATTTAATGGGATTTTTTATTTTGCAAATATTAAATGACGTAGAGGGCTTCTGCAGTAAACTGTTAAGTGAAGGCTGACATAAATTACAGTGTGTGTTGTGCACCTCGTTGAAGAGGGATATATTGAACAGTTAGGATTACAGAGTGAAAAATACAGCTGTTTTCCATCTATATATCTATATATTAATAAAACAGGATCCCTTGTCACCCTGTTTTGAGTGCTTTAAATGACATAAATACATCTCAGTTCTATTTTCCACTGGTATCACACTCAAAGATCAACAGGAAACCTCCACACAGCAGTATTTCAGTCCAAGGAAATAGTAAATAGATATACACAAGGAAGCCTGACCTTCTGCTTTAGAATAACTGACGTACATGACTAAAATAATGTGGGTGAAATCTCCTGGGAAGTGATTTCATATCCTTTTGTGTCTTTGTGTATTTACTGTATGCCTGGGCAACATTGGTGACTCTCGATATAGATATTTTTATGTATGAACCCCTTAATTATTAATTTTAAAATTAGAAAACAAATACTCGTTTTTGGTAACTAGATGCCATGACTGGGATGCAATCTTTGAAAAAACTATAATTGGATCACTCAGCAAATCAGATCATACTGTAAGTAAAAAGACTGATGATAATTACAGGTTTATTATACATATTCAGAATGTGCATTACTTAAGCACAATAGTAATTGTTGCATGAAAATAAAGCAATGTATGTAATGCAAATACAGTAGTTAAAGTGGTATTTTTACACATGAAGAATGTGATTTCAGTTTCAAGGCAGAGTATTAGCTGCTTTAATTAAAACAGATTTGTAATGGGCAGTGTGCTTAGAAGTTGACTTATGGTGTCTACTGTAATCATACGTGTTAAATGTAGAACTCCTTTATGGCTGAAATAGTGATATTTGTAATATCCAATCAATACAAATATTCTAATAAATACAAACTTGGACTGGTTCCTAAACAGACTACTTGTCCCAAACAAACTATATGTCAAAATCCTGTGAAGTGGGTTGAGGCACAATATCAAATGCAGGGGTTATTATTAACAGCCATCTATCACATTACTTCTGCAGCATGTTTTTAAACAACCATCTTGTCAAACATTTTTACAATTTGTTAAACATTTCTTAATAAGCTTGAGATTGTGTACTTTGCCCTTGTTTCTCTACTCTCATATTTACAATTTACTAACTAAGATGAATGAAGTGTCCGTCATTTCTAGCTTGAAGTGTTTGAAGAATAACAGCGCCACCTGCAGATAGGGATTGTTCGCGAATTACTACATTAAGCATAAAAATAATTGTCAAATATTTTATACCTTTCATTTGTGATCAAAGAGAATTAGTGCAGTAACGGTTTATATACTACACAATAAAGGTAATTTTCTGTTTGAAAGAGAACTTTTTAAAAATAGTCCGATGATGTCATTCTAGACAGTAGCTGGACTAAAGTCAAAAGGAAATTTAGCAGTTGGAATAGTTTATGAGATTAGATTTAGACCAGCATAATTGGTGTAATTTTATATCCTGTCAAACATGTGGAGGTTGAAATTCCACTTGGATTTACTCGATTTATGTAGTTCAGTGTTTCACGATGGATCAAATAGCCTTCGTCTGTGCTATAAATTTCTATGCTTTAGAGAGTCCTGAATAGCAATTTTTTAAATACCGCTTTAGTTTTGACATCGGTTTTCGCTAACTTCTTTTAAGAAACTACAGAAAATCAGTTTCAAAGTTAAGGCCGAATTCAACAATTTATCAAATTCTGGATACTCCAGATTGCTACACAGAGTAAATTAGAGGTGAAATTTCTCGGTGGAGTGTGGAAATGGTAGAGATGTTTTCTAAACACCTGAACTCTGAAAAACAAATATTTTTAAAATAATATTCAAAATATTAGGTACGAATAGGCCATGTTGATGCTGATAAATCTAAAGAGGTGAGGCTGAATAAATTACTCAGAACAAGGTCTTGTCTGGTTTGTTACTCTTTGGGTTATATACTGTACATGTTACGTTAATCACTATTTTGCCCACAAAATATACAGCCAATTTACTTTACAGTATATTATGTGAAGTGCTTTGAGACATCTCAAAAACATGATAAAGTTGCCATATCAAATCAAATGTATTGCATTGCTTTATATTAAATATGTGAGTATGTAATTCTCAGTTGTAAAACACAGATACAGTGTATAATAGTACTTACTGGGTTTTAGCTCTCAACTGTTTATCAATAATCTGCACAACATGACTGCAAATGCAGTGAGTTCAGCTGAAATGTGGATTGTAATATAATGCAGTGTACAAATAGGTTCATAAGAAGTGTATTTGAACTCCAGAGCAGAGTTCCTGCTACAATTCTTAGATCATTTTCCACAATAACTAGAAAAAGAGAACGTTTTTAATATTGTGCATATATGGCACACTTCCGGGTGTATAAACACACAATTGGGATTCCAACCTGCCTGGCATTCGCTTATTTAGATCAAGTTTTTCCCTCTATGTTGAGGCCGAAATACAATATTTCAGGACTAATGAAGAAAGCTTTAAAGATATTCAATGGTAAGGTTTTTCAAGATACTCACAGGAACTGGCAAAGAGCCAGATGGCAATATGAGAAAATAAATCCTCTAGAAAGCTTGAGTTACAAGATATACAAACCACAGTTGATCTAATGTTTAAATAAAAGTATTGTGCACCCACTACCATATGTGGTGTTTATATAATTCACAAGGCATGGCACCAGCTTTCAAAGTGAATTGGAATGCAGCAACAACACATTAAATACACATAAAAACACAAAGCGTAAAGTAAAAATGGCCACATGGCACTTAGATTTTTTTTAGCAATAAACATTTCTAGCTTCTTTAATGTGTAAATCTACCTCAATGTTTCTTCAGTGGGTTGGGGGGTTACATTGCTAAACACAATCCAAATGGAAATTTCAATGTTTAAGAAAATCAAAAGTCGAGAGAAATTTGTTCAACTGATAATTGAATTTGCAGGGAACAAATTACAATGGAAACTGGTAGAAATCATTCAATCTGTCAAGGCTATTCTGCAATGGAGTTAATGGTTGTATAGATGTGTGAACATAGTTTCCACCTTGCCAAGTATTCAAAGAAACCAAAATCTGGTGTGGAAAAGCCTTTCCTGATTGAAACAAACTAACGATTGTATGGGGAGAATGTGGAACTCACTGCTGGAAGCTGTGGTCAGAGCAAAACACATCAATATATATATTATATATATAAAAAAGGAAACTTAATGCCTACAGAAAGAGAATAGAGGGTACCACAGAGAAGATTAAGAGGGTTGGAAACTCATATGGAGTATAAACACTGGCAAGACAACTTGGACCTAATGGCCTGTTTAAGTGCCATAATGTTCTATGTAATTTTATGTCAAAAATAAAGTTAATCCAATTTGAATTTAGGTGTGACCAGTTTGTTCAAAGAAACCTGGTTTGACTCTGCACTGGTTAGAACATGCAAAGAAGACAGTGAATAGCTGTGTGTGTATCTGTTTTATAAAACCTAATGAAAGAACACAATGCATGGTTAAGATATGAAAGATTAATCTAGTTGTGGTATACAAGGTGTAAACTAGGGGAAGCTTTAAGAGTATAGATATCAGACAGCACTTCAATGGTTTTGGTGATTTTTCCTCCTTCGTGATGCTGCAGCTCATCTGCACTCAGCACCTTTCTCAGAGCATGATTAAAGATCTGAAATTTCCTGTGCTGAGCTTATAGACTCACATCCAATTCCTGGAATTCCATGACCCAGCACCTCAATGTACTGCACCAGGATTGCTGATTAGACAGTGCACAAGACAGTTGTGACTTCAGTGCTGGCTTTCCCTGCAGCATGAGTTCAGCAAGACCTCACTGGGACTCTTGGGAAGGGAATGAAAAACTAGCACTCAAACCTGGGGCAATTATCTGGGTGCATCAGGCACTCTATTCCCTTTACTGCGACACTGCCAATCCCTTATCTTGCACATTTTTGTTCTACTAAAAAGCCACATAGAATAATTGTCTGGTACGAGTGATAAAACCCAAGATATTATTTCTCAAAGGTGTCTAACACATACATTATAAGAATATCTAAGAACAGTTGTAACCATCCATCAGCCTCGGCCAGGCAGATTGGGGCTGAGAGAGATAGATGTGACAAGGGACTTCATAAATTCTACGCAAAATGAGCAAAAGGTTTGTCTTCACAAATAAAATCTAAATCTCAGTTTGCCTCCAAGGCCAAACTCTAGTGAAGAAGATGCACACCTGAAGGCAAAATATTACAGATGCTGGAAATCTGAAATAAAAACAGAAGTTGCTGGGAACACTCAGCAGGTCAGGCAGCATAACATTTCAGGTTGATGACCTTCCATCAGAACTCAAATTTCACAGAGGTACTGTGATCGTGGGTGGATCTGAAGCAGGAATTTAAGCCAGAATCCATAAGGAATGATTTGGAGCCTGAGACAGTTGCTGAGAAAATTATGTGGCTGTGAAAGCGATTTTTAGCAAACACATCAAATACAAGAAGGGAAACAGATAGCAAAGAAGGTGAACAGGGTAAAAGGGAAAAACTAAAGTCACGTCGAAGAGAAGAGCAGAACATCTTCCATGTAGGTATTCCTGGAAGAGAAGTGGCAGTGTATTAAACAATAAACAAAAGATAAAATACTGCAGATGCTGGAAATCTGAAGGTAAAAACAGAAGTCGTTAAGAACATTCAGCAGGTCAGACAGCATCTCAGAACTCAGTTCTGATGAAAGGTCATCAATCTGAAACGTTAACTCACTTTCCTCTCTCCATAGATGCTGCCTGACCTGCTGAGTGTTCTCGTGGACTCAAAATTCACAACTGCACATCTGTCTGGGTCCAATTTGACTAAATGTTTCTTTCCAAGCTGGAAAGAATGTCAAACCTTCCAGCAGGAAAAAAAACTGTGCCTTTCTCACAATTAAAAGTGGTTCTTTTGTGCAGTGATATTTCAAGCTTTGATTTGTAAAATATATAACTGCCAGGTTCTATTGACAACTTTAAATATTTTATAGTACAAATGCAAGGATTATTATTAAGTTGCAGGATAAGGTACACAACAACAAGTGGTAGGAGTTGTGTAGGGAGGTATAATTAAGCCGTTAAAAAAAATCTATTTTCAAGGATGTGGATGAATTTTTGCTTCAGTTGAGTTCTGAATTGTTTGTACCATTCTATGAGGATTTGTCTCCTCTGAATCTTCTCCGTCAGACTCATGACCTTTTCTTTTGCTAAAATAGCAGGTAATTCTCTCCAGTCTTTCACAAAAATAAAAGGTGCCCCCATTGACTTCAATAACCTCAAAGGGGCATTGTGTAAAACTGACGAGTTGCCACACTTCCCAGGCGTCATGATATCTTCAACCACAGGGACAGAACCGTAAGCACATGCTTCATAAATTCTATAGCATTCTGTATTGATTCCCATTGGGCATAGTGTAAGGTCACTCTGCAACAAAGCATCCTGGTATTTCTTTAGACTTTCACTGCTTTCCTGAGGCAACCACCTGGAACGAAGGAATAAAACCGGAAAGGTCAGCCAGCGTTCATACAAATTGTACTTTGTGTCAAAAAACATATATATCTACACAAGTGCAAAAGTTGTTTAACTTCAGTTTGAAAGTACAATACTAGCAATATTATCATAATATTAACATCCCATCACTGACTACATTTGTTTCAGGTTACAGATAATACTGTGGCGGTAAGAAAAACATTGTTACAACTTATGGTTCTCAGGTTAAGGGATCTATACATCACCACTAGCTGTGGTGAAGGATGACACCAAAGTAAAACTAAGTGATGTAGCATAGGAACTGGTCATTCACTTCAAGGCTATTTGTTGGACATTGTTGTGTGCAAACTGGTTACTGCGTTTGCTACAAAACACACTACACTTTACAGTAAATCCCTTGAAGTACTTTGAGACATCCACCTGAAGTGAACGGCCATATATCAAATTTAAGGATTTTTTTTATTATTATCAATAATTTTACCCACAAAATATACAGTCAATTCACTTTACAGTATATTTTGTGAAGCACTTTTAGACGACTAGCAGACGTGAAAAGCGCTACATCAAATGCAAGGATTATTATTATTATAATAACTAAACACATCTTTACAGGGGGTCATTTTAATTTAGTTAAAAGACTAATCATTATTGAAAATCCATTACAAAGTACAACTAGATGCACCTAAAATCTAAAACCACAGGCCAAAAAAAAAGGGGAGTTGAGGAGAGGCAAGCACGACAGTAAAGTGAAATCCAAAGATAGTGAAAGAGAATTTTTTTCTTGCTATTGTTTATGTAAAAATCCTAACTCATGTGATATAATAACAACAATTTACATTTGTATAGCATCTTTCATATCATTTGTATAGCATCCTTCATGTCTTAAAATGCTCCACAGAGATGGCAGAGTGCCCGGAGGGAGTGGGGGTGGGAGGGAGGGTGGTGAGGAGAGGTGGCTAAAAGCACAGTCAAAGAGATAGGTCCCTCCGCCAGACTCTGACAAATGCACCAAGCGGGCAATCCACCATGTTCACGTTGGTCTTTAACAAATCCTTCAGCAAAATAAAAACAGTCCACAGTGTTCTCATGTTCAATCTCAAACCAAGCAATCTGAATACCACAAGGCTGGTATTTCTCTGCAGATTGAATACAGTTAGTGATCAGTAAGCTTTTGGGAATAAAACTGCAGCTATTCAGTTGCAACAAATCTATTTTAAAGCAGACTGATGAACTCTATACAAAAAAAGACTTACTGTTCTCTGACTGAGATAAGACACATTGAATCGAGTCGTTCATGTCTCAATATATTGAGCAGGATTTCCCTGGAGGAGTCCTTGTACACAGTTCCTAGGAAATTACACAAGTACGGCCTTGATGAATGCAACATGAGGTTGTTGAAATCCACAACAGGGAAGTTTCTGTATCTGAAATGAGAATAAAATGAAATTATTGCATTTTCTTGGAATATACGGAAAGTTTTCAATGTAATGGAGCCGTGTGAATTAAGGTTGGGAGTTATTTTCAGTTACTAGAAATAGTTACCAGTTTAGTGGTATAGCAACTATTCTGTAGAATCTTGTGAAACAAGATCATTGACAAGTAAATCAACTTTTTGTTCACAAATTCCTTTAAAAAGTTAAAAGGATATGCAAAAATTGTTCTACATTCCAGTCAGTGTTAGCATAGATTAAAAGTGACACATTCATATTCAGTCACATTCTTATAAGGTCACCTCACTTTGTAAGATTAATGTCCCATTCTTTTACCCAAAATAGATTTTACGAGGCTGCAAATGCGACATTTTGGTAATCGATTAATTTCTCAGATTGTGGCCAGATAGAATGCAATAAAATAAACAGGCCGCTTGTCTTCAAGGTGATCCCTGAAATCAATCATATTCTGGTAAAGTAGACTGAATCTCCAGATCCCGTGATACATTCCATTCTCATTTTCCAATTCCCTCCACAATAAAGAGCTGGATAGGTTAAAAATCCACTAGGGACTGTCAACGTGCCTTGAATTAATTATTCATAGCTGAAGATTGATAGGAACCAAAAAAAATGGCAAATCTGAAAAATGTACTCAATGGCACAGAAGCTTTAGCTTTCTTAAAGGTGATATACCTTCAATACAAGGCTACCATTCTGAAAATCTTAAATGTTATCACTTTTGACTCGATTATAGGATCTGTTGCAGATAATAGGTTACAGAGTAGGTAGAATGGGTCGAGATTAAGGTGAGATTTGAAGACTAGGACAATGAATTAAACCTCAAATCCTCTGAATGCTGGTGGCCAATGAAATTGGGACAGTGAACATGTGGAGCTCTACAGCAGCGATCTCTGGATCAGCAAGTAATGTGTCTATTCTCTCAATCAGGGAATAGTACGTGCTGCAGAACAGGCAATACTCAACCGGAACATTGTCAGAGCATGACAAAAACATGTTATTTGAGAATTAACTTTGCAGGCAGTACTGAAGATCTTCAACTCGAGGCATTGATACCTGCAATTATGTGTCAGCCTGGCTCAGTGGTAGCACTCTCACTTCTGAGTCATAATATTGCGGGTTCAAGAGATGGCACTACTTCAAAAGAGTTAGGAGTTTTTCCCGGCCAACAATCCCTCAAATAAAATTGGTCACTCACTCTATGGCTGTTTGTGGGACATTGCTGTGTCACATTTTGCTCGCAGAATACATAGTCAATCTACTTTACAGTATATCCTGTGAAGTGTTTTGAGATGTCTCGACAACATGAAAGGTGCTATATCAAATGCAAGAATTATTATAATTTTTATTAATTAGGACGAATACCCTCAAACTGGAAAGAACTTGGAAAAATGTTCTTTCCACTTATCAGCAGTGACAGTACTCAATGTAATGAATGCAATATTCATCCCTTTCCAAAAGTGTAAAGACGTCAATCTAATTGAATAAAATTGTTTTTAATACGATTGGCATTATCAAGTACTGGTTGCAAGGTCAAGCTATATTGATCTTAATGCATTTGTGACGCTAGGTTGTGTATCCTTTTAAGAGCACTAAGGCTTGGTTGGGCACAAAAATGGCAATTTCTTATGTTAAACTAACAGTAGAACAAGTTGTTATGGATGACAGACATTTTTTGATCAAACCACACATCCTCAAATACGTGACCCCAACAAAGACTCCAGGGCCAAATGGCACTTCATTATTCCTGACCATGAAAAGGACATTTTTTAAACAATGCATCTTTGCTTGCTGCAACAATCATAATACAAGTGACTGCACATAAATCACAGGAAGAAACAAGTAGAATCTAAACACTCACTGCACAGAACATTGACCTCCTTTTAGAGCTTCAAATACAATTCTAAATATGAGTATATATATACACACACACACGTATATTTAAAAAAATCTACAGAACCAGAAAAGACTTCATTTTAACCACATTCAACTTGCATTCTAAGACACTTACATTTTAAGTTTGATACAGAAATTTTTACGTCATCCTCAAAGCTTTGAATTACAAAGACAGAAACAAATCATAGCAAAACTGGTACATAAAAATAAATACTTCTAAGTAAATTTAGTGAGGATGAGCTACAGTAAATAAATAAAAGAAAGTGAGGGTCTCGTAATGAACATTTACTCAAAACAAGGCACCTATGGCATTGGTGAGGCATTTCTGAAGAATAATAGAAGGACAAATTGACCAGGCCTAACCATAGAAGTCCTCAGAATATTTGGAGTACACAGTATTCTGATAAGATGGTATACTTTCCTGTCTGAATGCAATCTTACATATTTAACTAACCTCTTGGGCTCCAAAGCTGCTCTTCAGATGCAATGAACAGAATCTTAGCAGTCACATAAAGAGCTCAGCTGCTGGTTTACCATCACTTCAAGATTAAATATAGGGTATTGTACCAGCTAGAGTACAGCACTTTTCCATTATTCTCTTACCAATGAAGGACCCATCATGATGTTCTGTTTATATTGCAAGTTGGTGCTCAGCCAAAGCTTAAGAGCATTCCACAAAGCAGTAAGTGGTGCAGACTGTCAGGTAACTTTCACATGTATAACTTGCTTTAAACATATCACTGAACTTGGGACATTAATATCCACTAAATAATCCTGTGTAAAGCTATTTTAGTGACATAGGCACAGATTTAACAGGAAATTGGCCCTATAAGGCTGGAAGCCGCAAAATAGAGAGGGGGAAGTCTGTTCAGTGAATGATAGGAATCAACAGGCAGCTGTACATAAGCTGCATCAGCGCTGAATAACTGGAGGTTGACTCAGGAATCTGAGCTAAAGCAAATGTTATTTACACTGTACATAAATGATTCGGAAGTTTGGACAGATAACAAGCTAGTTTGCTGATGATGCCAACTGAGGGTGCGGGAGGAAGGGGGGAAAGACGACAACAGTGGAGTGAGTAATGGGATTGTGGAAGGAGAATAAACATTTGGAGTATAAACTAAACAGTACACATCTGCAAGACGTGTGACCAGGAGAGGGATATGGGGATACAGATGAACAGATTGTTGAAACAATCAGCACAGTAGTGGTGGCAGTAAACAACGAATTAGGTCTTGGGGTGCATAGTTAAAGGGATAGAGCAAAAGACACAGGCAGCAATAGTAAATGTATACAAAAGCTCTGGTCAGATCTCCTAGAGTACTAAACACAATTGTAGTCGTTGAATTATAGCACAGATATCTTGGCATGGTGGGGGAACAGGGAAGAGCAACTAGATTAAGGAGAGGATGGTTTGAAGCGTGGAATGTTCACACTGGGCTCATGGAAGATCTTATTGAATTCATGGAGAGCTAAAGTATAGCATTAAACTGATTGCTAATAATATGTTTAACTTGATCAAAAATTTACCTGCAAGAGAACATAAACTCAAGCTTAGAAGCGGGAAGATGGAAGTGCAGTTTAGATTTAATTACATTACACAGATAGCAGTGAATATATAAACTGGAATGCCCTGCAAGATTGTGGAGACAGATTGTGTCAACAAATCAATAGGGAAATTAGATACCAATTTGACTTAAAAATTGATTGTGGAGTATGAGAAATATAATTGAGGATTTTTTTTTTAAAAAAATCATAACCAGACGGAGAGACATTTTTTTTAATTTTCTTGGACAATTCTATGTTGCATTTTAAGAATAATGATCAGCACTGCTGTAGGTTTCTGCCACTTCTACTTTAGCTTTTCCGGGAACAGCAGTACTGTAATTCAAAAGTACTGTATTTTGAAACGTCTCAAAGTACTGTACTTTTGAATCAAACTATTTCGGTCTGAGGAAGTTTGCATTCCACAACAGTTAGTTGGTTGTAATTTTTCATTACTAAACACTGCCCTCTAGACATAAATTTCAGTTGTTACACTGAACAATAGTTGTCTCAAATTGTGGAAAATTCAACACCTAATCAATTCTCAGCACGGGATTTTCTTGATTAATATTCAAATAATACTTGCATTTGATATAGCGCCTTATCACGACCTTGAGACGTTTCAAAGCGCTTCACAGAATATACCTCAAAGTGAATTGATTTTGTGGGGAAACAGTGAAATGGCCAGCAGGTCACACTGAAGTAACATATTTCATGGCAATCACCAATTGGCGATACACAGATTGCTAAAAAATAAAGATCTTTATTAGTGTATTTGTAATATAAAGATTCAACAAAAAGATTGCTAATTAGCAGTTGGGGAATGATATACCCAAACCTCAGGAAAGTCCTGGTTGAACTGCGCTCCTTGAAAGTTATGGAAAAAACTACTATGAGTGATAACAATAGAACAGATATTTTGAAAGATTTGATCTCATCCTTCTTACTGTCTTCTCATCATAGCATCAAGTTTTTTTTAAAAAAAGGAATCCAGTGTCGTTTTTCAACTTATTCCAGCCATAAAGAGAAACTTCCTGATGTGTGTTGTGAAATTGCAGTTTGTAACAACAACAACAAAATTACATTTATAGAGCACCTTTCACGTCGGGAGGTCCTCTTGTCTTGGTGTATCCTAAAGTACTGTTCTGGGTCTACTTTTTCAATTCCATTTAATAATAATAATCCTTGCATTTGATATAGCGCTTTTCACGTCGGGAGGACGTCCCAAAGCGCTTCACAGAACACACTGTAAAGTGAATTGACTGTATATTTGTGGGCGAACGCGGCAGCCAATTGTGCACAGCAATGTCCCACAAACAGTCGTAGATTGAAAATGACCAATTTATTATTGTTTTTGGTTTTGGAGGGATTATTATTAGGTATGTGGAGTAAGGAAACTTGCCCAAGGTTTCGCCCTCTGCCTGGAATTGAACTCAGGTCTCTCACTTGCAAAGCGAGTGCTCTAACCACTGAGCTACAGGACTCCATATTTCAAATATGATACACCTCAAAAGGTCTCCTCTGAGCTAGCCCCAAGTCTGAAGCCAAACAATAACAACAACTTGCATTTATATAGCACCCTTCACATCCCAGAGCGCTTCACAGTGGTAGAGTCTAACAGACTGAGCCTCCCAGCACCCTTTACAAGCAGCACAGCGAGGCCCTGGGAGGTTGACGAGAGAACATGCAACAAGAGAAAGGCAGAATGGTTTCACTAAACAAAATGACATAAGCAAGTTGGTACAATTGACATTCTACTTACGTTGCCACTCCCAGGGGCCACTGATAAACATCCTCTTCGTTTACCCAGAGACTGTCATAAACTAGAAAAAGCAAATCCACAAATCCTCCATGTTTCTTGAGGTAAGGCTCTATCCATTGGTTATTGCACTGCTCATTGCCAAGCAGTACGACAGCCACGTGTTGTAATTTGTGGGTTTGGAGGAGTGTCTGAACATACTGTAGCCACTGGGTGGCAAACATGATCTTCCCTTCTTCCCGACCATTTAGTACAAGCACCAGACTCTCAGCGTCCAGGGGAATGTGCCCAGGGACCACCGCAGGACCAGTATAGAAACTGAAAAGCAACAAAAGTACAAATTGCAAATACCAATATATCACCCGGTCCAAAACAGTCAAACCGTTGACTTATTTTAGCTATATAGTTAAATAACTTTTTAGCGCCCACAAAATAAACAGTCAATTCACTTTATTCTGCGAAGCTCTTTGACACACCTCAAATACATGATAAGGCGCTATATCAAAAGCAAGGATTATTATTATATAGTTTGGGACATGACATGAGAGTGGAAGGTGAACTGGATGGATGTTGCTCTTCTTTCGTCTTGCAATTCTTATGTTCTTAACTATTATTTGAGAAACACATTCACAAGTCTCGCTATGTCTCTAGTATATTATGGCACTTCATCAAGTTTAAGAACTTGTCTTCAGAGAATACCATAGAAGGATATGGGGATGTTGGTTTAGTGACATGCTTAACTGATTGCACTTCAAGGAATTCAGATTATAAATGCAAATCATAATAAAACAATATGTTATAAGCTGTCATTCTACTTAAAATCCGTATGTGCTCCACGTGATGAATGGAGAGCGATGAAGTGATCAACTGATAAACGTACCATCACACAAAGCATCACCCAGACAAAGTTCAATACTTAATTCTGGATCACAATAATTCACTATTCATGGTGGGGTAAATATTGACCGCGAACAGACAGACGGGACATTGGTTTAACATCTCATCTGGAGGACGTCACCTCTGATTATTCACTATAAATCATATGCATTTTTGAAAGGTATCAAGTATATTAAAAGAGAAACTGTACCTTTTAACTAATACTTAAAAGGGAAACCGATACACTATATTGTCAAAGCAAAGTTCCTTCTCTTTTCTTTTCCTTGCCGCTGTTCAGCCTTCCAAACAATTTTGTGTTTGAAACTTTAGTCTGTTTTGACTCCTTCTCTGCATCTTCATGGAAAATACACATTGTTTCGAAAGCTGCACAATCTCAGCACTGGCTTCCAGCAACAAGCAGCTGAGCCAAATAAGCAAAAGCTGGCTGTTTTAGGTTCCTTAATTCTGAGCTATAGCAGCCGGTCATTTAAATTTACAGCCTGAGCACAGAGCGCAAATCCCACCAATGCAAGCTTGCTGCTCGCTCAGAGCCTAGGGATGATGTGGGGAAACATTCCCCAAATCTCCCACCTTTCCTTTAATTTACCCCATATTTCCAAGCATTACAAACCAGCAAAGTGTCAGGTTCAATCCATAATATGAGCAGAATTAACCGTTCTCAGCAAGACTGCTGCTAGGAGTTTCAACTAAAACTTTGGGGAAATGGGGGAAGAAAAAAGATAGCATTACTGGTGAGCCATTCTAGAAGCACATATAATAATAATAATAATCCTTGCAATTGATACAGCGCCTTATCATCTCGTCGAGATGTCTCAAAGTACTCACAGGTTATGCTGTAAAGTGGCGTGACTGTGTGTATTTTGTATCTGTAAACTGGATTATCTTCAGTCTATCTGTAATAATATAGGAAATGTGAACTGATATTACAGAGATACTAACTTAATGCATATGGGGAGTGGATCTGATAAGTCTCACTCCATTACACAAAACAGTTCACAAAAGCTTAAGGCTCACCTAAAGTGCAAGTTTCCATCATTTAGTTCTCCTTGTCTCCACTGTGCTGCCACGTCACCTGGGGAAAGCTGTCCCCCCAGAATGTGATGCCAGAGGTAAAGTCCTATTTAAAACCCAAACAAAAGTATTTAGTAGCCACAACAACATGGATTTATATAGCGCTCTTCATGTAGGGCAGTGTCCCGGAGCACTTAACAGTGGCAGAGCCTGACTCTGAACCGAGGAGGAGGGAGGAGATGACCATAAGCATGGTCGAAGAGGAAGGGCTTCACTTGTGATCTAGTAGAGGAGGAGGGGTCAAGGCGGAGGAATTGGGGGAGAGAGTTCGAAAGCTTTGGGGCATAGTGGCTAAAAGGACGGCTGCCGATGGTGGAGCGGATGAAGGACAAACAGGAGGCCAGAGCCAGCCGAGCAGAGGCAGACAATTAAAAAAAAGTTCACTGTGCAGTAGTAATACATAGATCTAAATAGAAGACATTACCAAAGATTGTTAAACCCCATTATTTTTGTGAATGGCAATTAAAAGCTAAAGAAGCAATTATCAGAGACAATTTCAAAATTTTCAATAGAACCCTCTAAAACCATCTCATTCTGCGGGGGGTAGAGTAGTTAGATAAGAAGACTAGAATTGAAGATATAAAATGTAAGCCAAATAGAATCTAATAAAAGCCTTCAAAATTTCCGAATGTTCTGCGAAAGTTTATTTTCACTGGGTTGGTGTTAACAAGGCAGCTTAAGATCAGGATAGTCATCAGACGATTTAAGAAAGTTAGAATAGTTTTCATTTAGAGACTTGTAATTTCTACTAAGAGCACTTACCAATGGCAGCTTTGCCCCAGATCTGTACCTGTTTGGGTCGGGTTTGTAAAATGTGTTTCTGGAATCCGTGGAGATGAGCTTCCTGCTGCCGAGCATTCTCAGCTCGGTCATCTTCTTCCCATGGATTCCATTCATCCTTTTGTTCAGTTTCCAAATCCCTTGCTTCCAATTTCTGCCATGGAAGTGTACTTCCTGTAAATCCAAAATTCCAGGTAGAACAGTAACTGCATATTGAGAAGAACAAACACCCACACGAAAATTACATTTGTATAGCGCCTTTCACGTCGGGAGGACGTCCCAAGCTGCTGGACAATCAGTGTTTCAGGCCCGAGCTGGGGGTCGGGATTGGGGAGGGTTGGGGAGCGGGGGGGAAGGAGGGTGACCAAAGGCACAGTCAAAGAGGAGGGTCTTGAGACGGGTCTTGAAGGAGGCAAGGGAGGGGGCGAGGCGGAGGGACTGCGGGATGGAGTTCCAGAGGGTGGGGCGGGCGAGGCGGGGGATGTGAATCAGACCGGAGCGCGCTGAGCAGAAGCAGCGAGCAGAATGGTAGGGGGTTAGGTGGTCACAGAGATAGGTGGGAACAAAGCCACGGAGGGCTTTGAAGGCGAGGACCAAAATCTTGAACCGTATCCTCTGTGTGATGTGAAGCCAGTGAAGTGGGGTGAGGATGGGGGTGATAGGGTCGCGGAGCCTGGGGTGGGAGAAGAAACCTTACCACACGGGTTTCAAAGGAATCACAGCACAGGAGGTCATTTGGCCCATTAAACCTATTCTGATGACAGCTCCTCCATTACAGTCAACTACTCTAATCCCAGTTCCATGCTGACTCTCTCTCTCTCTCTCTGTAGCATTTTATATTCGTTCTGTTCATATCTGTATCCAATTCTGTTTTTCTCTTTGACGGTGCCTTCAGCTCCCCTCTCGACTCTCTACCCCCTCCTCGCTCGCTCCGTCCCTCCCTTCCCTTCCCTCCCCTCACCCTGACCATTTCCCCCCCACCAACGCTCGGGTCCCGACCAACCGTCCAGCGCCTCGGGACGTCCTCCCGACGTGAAAGGCGCTCAATAAATGGAATCTTGTTGTTGTTGTTATTGTTGTTGTTAAATATTATGACTTCAGCCTCAAATAGCCACTGCGGCAAATCGTTCTACGTCTCCACAATCCTTTTAACCCTCTGTGCGTGGAGTGGGTCCCTAACCTCTCCCCCCAACCCCTTAACAATTCCAATGACCACCGTGAGCTCTGCCTCGTCGTTACCGATGGGGCAGTGCCAAACGAGGTCTGGATCGAAATTTGGTTCACATTTGAAACACGTTGAATGGGCAAAGTTCCCCACGAAATTCCGCCCGAACCGTCCGCGAAAACACGGTGAAGAAAAATTCTGCTGAATTGTTGCAGAAGGGGAGGGGGTTGGGGGGGGGGAGGGGGAGGGGGTTGGGGGGTGGGGGGGGGAGGGGGTTGGGGGGGTTGGGGGGTTGGGGGGGGAGGGGGTTGGGGGGGGGGAGTGGGGGGCAGATTCTTCCCAGTTTCACTTTGCAGCAAACCCCAAAAATATATATATATATATACATAATATATATAATATATATTTCTATGCACAGGACAAATAACCTGGTGGAGGCTGAGCTATCGGCCCTGATCTCCTGCCTGTGATGGGGAGGGCGGTTGCACTGAGCAGAGTCGGGCCCCGATGTTCACAGCGGCGGCGGCGGCGGCTCTCACCCCTGTGGCGGTCCCGGCGCTGGGCCGCTCGCTGCCCGCGGGCCGCCCCGGAGCCGCGGAAGAGGACGACGTAAGCGGCGTATATCGAAAACAGGCAATAGACCAACAGCAGCGAACGCGCCGCCCGTCTGCGGCCGCTCCTCACCGTCATGTGGCTGCCGTGGGACTGAGCCCAGAGCCCAGAGCCCCCCCAGAGCCCCCCCCCCCCCACAGCCCCCCCAGAGCCCCCCCCCCCCACAGCCCCCCCAGAGCCACCCCCCCCAGAGCCCAGAGCCCCCCCCAGAGCCCAGAGCCCCCCCAGAGCCCAGAGCCCCCCCAGAGCCCAGAGCCCCCCAGAGCCCAGAGCCCCCCCAGAGCCCAGAGCCCCCCAGAGCCCAGACCCCCCACCCCCCAGAGCACAGACCCCCAGAGCCCAGACCCCCACCCCCCAGAGCACAGACCCCAGAGCCCCCCCAGAGCACAGACCCCCAGACCCAGAGCCCCCCAGAGCACAGACCCCCCCAGAGCCCAGAGCCCCCCCAGAGCACAGACCCCCAGACCCCCCCCAGACCCCCAGGGCTCAGCTCAGCCCCGGTCCGGCAGACGAGCCACACGCACTGACAAGGAAGGCACCGGGAGGTCCCGCACTCGGGGCCGCTCCGCAAACAGCACCGCAACAACTGCTGACGCTTTTAGGTTTCCAGCTCCTGCCTGAGCCTGTGACACACTCACCTCACACTCACCTCACACACACACCTCATACACACTCACACTCACCTCACACACACACACCTCACACTCACCTCACACACACACCTCATACACACTCACACACACCTCACACCTCACACTCACCTCACACACACCTCACACACACACCTCATACACACTCACACACCTCATACACACTCACACACACACACACACACACACCTCACACTCACACACACCTCACACCTCACACTCACCTCACACTCACACACACTCATACACACTCACACACCTCACACACCACACACACACCTCACACACACCTCACACACACACACCTCACACACCTCACACACACCTCACACACCTCACACTCACACCTCACACACACACACCTCACACTCACACACACCTCACACTCACACACACACAGCACACACACCTCCACACACACACACACACACCTCCACACTCACACACACAGCACACACACCTCACACTCACACACACACACACCTCACACTCACACACACACCTCACACTCACACCTCACACTCACACACACACACCTCACACTCACACACACTCACACACACACCTCACACACACACCTCACACACACACCTCACACACACACACACACACCTCACACTCACACACACACACCTCACACTCACACACACACCTCACACTCACACACACTCACACACACCTCACACACACACCTCACACTCACACACACAGCACACACACCTCCACACACACACCTCCACACACACACACACCTCCACACACTCACACACACAGCACACACACCTCATACACACACCTCCACAAACACACCTCCACACACACCCACACCTCATACACACACACACCTCATACACACACCTCCCACACACACACTCACACATACACACACAGCACATACACACACATACATACACACACAGCACATACACACAGCACCTCCCCCCACACACACAGCACACACACCTCACACATACATACATACATACATACATACACACACACAGGTACACACACATACATACACACATACACCTCCCACACACACACATACATACACACACCTCACACGCATACATACACACACATACACCTCCCACACACACACATACATACACACACCTCACACACACATACACACACATACACCTCACACACACACACACCTCCCACAAACACACCTCCACACACACACACACACACTCCCCCACACACACACCTCTCCCCACACACACACATACACATACACACCTCCCACACACACACACCTCCCCCCCATACACACATACCTCCCACCCCACACACACACTCACCTCCCACACACATACATACATACACACCTCCCCCCCACACACACACACCTCCCACACACATACACAGCACCTCCCACATACACAACACACACAACACCTCCCACACATACACACACACACACATACACACACACACACACCTCCACACACACACACCTCCCACACAAACACATACACACACCTCCACACACACACACCTCCCACACACACACACACACACCTCATACACACACCTCCACACACACAGACACAGCACCTCCCCCCACACACACACATCTCCACACACACACACAGCACCTCCCACACATACACATACACACACCTCCACACACACAGCATCGCCCACACACACACACACATCTCCACACACATACACCCACCTCCACACACACACACACACAGCACACACACACATACACCCACACATACACCCACCTCCCACACACACATACACACCTCCCACACACACACATACACCCACCTCCCACACACACACCTCCACACACACACCCACCCTACAATCCACACAACCCGACTGAAAGTCCTCCTAGTCTTTCAACCAAAAAAACACACCCACCCACACAAGAAATGCCTTCAGCATGTTGACATACTATCCAGTAGCACCTTATCAGTTCCTCTAGAGGTCTCAGAGATCTTCACGGGAATTACTGTAAAGCGGAGTGTAGTGACTGTGTATTTTGTAGGTGAACGCGGCAGCCAATTTGCGCAGAGTATAATGATAATGCGGTCGCTCAATCCACGACTGTTTGTGGGACGCTGCTGTGCGCAATTGGCTGCCACGTTCCGCCCACAAAAATATAGTCAATTCACTTTGCAGTATATTCTGTGAAGCGCTCTGAGACGTCTTGAAGATGTGATAAAGTGCCATATCAAATGTAAGGATTATTATAATTAGGAGTATTTGTGCACAGCAATATCCTGCACAAACAGCCATGAAGTCAATGACCAATTCTATCCGGAGCATGGTTGGCCTGGACAGTGGAAGAAACTTTGTGTCGTGCGATCTTTATCGTCCACTTGAATAAGCAGACAGGACCTCTACTAATAACTTGTAACATGCAAAAGATTTAAAGGGTCTCATGGCCCTCATTTCAATAGAAAGCTGTTAGGTAAACTTTTTCCAATGTTGATAAACATGCAAAGCAACAACATCATTGATCTCACAATAATTTCATCTGTCCCAGATACTGTATCATTAAAGTATCATTGTATTGCAGTTTCATTTAAAACCTTTTTCTAGGCATCTGATAAGTACTTAGAAATCCATTAATGAATTGCCACTGCAGTGAAACAATACGATCAACAGCAAGAAACTGATAATTCTTTTACAATTGTATATCAATCTATAATCCCATAAAAAATGGATTATAAGTTGTTCTTTTTATTATTGCTGTTGTTTTGGTAAAACACAAAGTGCAGTGACTTTGACAACACGCAACACGAGTGCCCCCATGAACGCACGATATTAATGCTGCTACATTTTACAGCATGAGAAATATCTTGCTCTAAGTGTCTGTGTGAAAACAGAGATTAAATTGTGACATATAGCCCTGATTTTACGGTACATTGTCAGCCAGGCAATGCGCTGCAAATATCCAATGAAACAGTTGCTAGGTCTCCACCTTTACGACGCTCAGAAGAGGCTGACACTTCAATTTGCCAAGCATATGTACACTATAATTGGTGTGTCACATATACTATCAATAACTGACTGTTAGAGCAGTAGGCCAGATATTATTAGAATAATTCAGCAGCACACCTGCAGAGTGAAGGATAGATTTATTGAAGATATATGCTTGAGCACATTTTGTTACGATGTGCTTTAGTTCACTGGATCAAGGAAGGAAAAAATCTGCTAGGGATCCTAATCCTTTCCAACCTTTCCAGAGAGGAAGTGTGTTTCAGTTGAACTACAAAAAAAAGGGCTTCAAACATAATCATAGAATCATAGAATCATAGAATCGTACAGCACAAAAAGAGGCCATTCGGCCCATCGAGTCTGTGCCGGCTCTTTGAACAGAGCAATGTAACGTCAATCCCACTCCCCAGCCCTTTCCCCATAACCCTGCAAACCCATCCTCCTCAAATACCCGTCCACCGCGTTTTTAAAAGTTGTTGTCGAATCGGCCTCGACCACCCTTTCAGGCAATGCATTCCAGATTCGAACAATTCGCTGAGTGAAAAAATTTCTTCTCACCTTTCCTCTGCTTCTTTTAGAGACTATTTTAAATCTGTGACCTCGAGTCACTGACACACCCACCAGTGGAAACAGTTTTTCCCTTTGTAACCTATCAATCCCTCATGATTTAGAAGACCTCTATTAGGTCTCCTCGTAACCTTCTCTGCTCCAATGAGAATAATCCCAGCCTCTCTAGCCTTTCCTCATAATCAAGGTCCCTCATTCCTGGTTCCATCCTCGTAAATCTCCTCTGCACCCTTTCCAATGCCTTAACATCCTTCCTATAGTGTGGTGCCAGAACTGGGCGCAGTATTCTAACTGAGGCCTAACCAGTGTTATATATAGGTTAATCATAACCTCCTGACTCTTGTACTCTATGTCCCTATTTATAAAGCCTAGTATCCCATATGCCCTTTTTACAGCTTTATCTACCTGTCCTGTCGCCTTCAAGGATTCATTTACCTGCACCCCCAGGTCTCTCTGTTCTTTTACCCCCCTTAAGATTGGATTACCAGCCTATATTGCCTCCCCTCATTCTACCAAAATGCATTACCTCGCATTTCTCCATATTGAAATTCATCTGCCATGTGTCTGCCCATTTTACCATTCTGTCTATGTCTTCCTGCAGTTGGCTACTATCCTTCTCACTGTTTACCACTCTACCTAACTTTGAGTCATCCACAAACTTGGAAGATTGAGTCCAGCAATATGCCAAATAATGGATGCTCTGAAATAATAAAAAGATTGTTGCATATGATATAGCGCCTTATCATGTCACTGCGATCTCTTAAAGCACTTGATATGATTTATTGCAGAGTATGGTGACTGTGTATTTGTGTATTTTGTAGGTGAATATAGAAGCCAAGTTGCACACATTGATGTCGAAGAAACAGAGTGACATGCATGAGCAATTTTATCTGGAGTACTATTATTGATCAGGGTGCGTAACCAAGACTACATATATG